CCCTAATCTATGTGCTATTGTTGCTGTTTTTAATCCTCAGTAGTGTTGATGTTTTTCAATAGTTTCTTTACTTGTCTTGTGACTTATCCTGGACCATAATCTATTTATAGGTAAAGATAGTATCTTCCCTACTGTCAGTCTCTGTAGCAGACATATTTGCCTACTGGTGGTTGTTCTCCTTGTTTTATTATTGGTTTTGTTCACCCACTTTGCCTGTTGACATGTTGGACAGCACTTCTTTATGTGGAACAGCCATGTACTTTTCAGGACAGTGGGTATCCTTAGCTCTCATCCACTAAATGCCAATAGTGGCCCAAGTCCCCATAATAACCAAAAATATCACCATGTATTTCAGAAAGCTGCTGGAGTGTTGGTATCATCCTTGGGCTGATCATGGTGGTTTCTTCCTCCTTTCCAAATTATTGATCTGTGCATGCGATACAATGTAACTCTGGCTGTAAATATGAGAAGTTGTTTGGGGGCTTCTGGAAAAAGCTTTCCTTGCTAATAAAAATGGGCACACATGCATATTTGCTAGTCAACTTAGTTTCCTTACGATCTTATGTACAAAGAAGACTATGTGGCAGATTTAAAAAACTAGAATTTTTATTTTAGAGATGAAGGGAGAGGGAGAGAGAGATAGAAACATCCTATATAATAAAAGGGTAATATGCAAATCAACCAAACAATGGAACGACCGGTCACTATGACGCGCACTGACCACTAGGGGACAGATGCTCAATGCAGGAGCTGCTCCATGGTGGTCAGTACGCTCCCACAGAGGGAGCGCCATGCAGCCAGAAGCTAGGCTCACAGCTGGCAAGCACAGCACTAAGGATAGCTGACTGACGGCTTAGACCCGCTCCCCATGGGACATCCCCCAAGGGCTCCTGGACTGCAGGAGGGTGCAGGCCAGGCTGAGGGACTCCCCCCCCTCAAGTGCATGAATTTTGTGCACCAGGCCTCTAGTCAATGATGAGAGAGACTCATTGATCGGCTGCCTCCTGCATACTCCCTTCTGGGGATTGAACCTGCAACCCAGGCATGTGCCCTCATTGGGAGTGGACCTCCAGGTTCATAGGTTGACTCTCAACCACTCAGTCACACCAGCTGGGCCATGTGGCAGATTTTTGCAATCCCCCCCTCTCCCCCCACCCCTCTTCTTATGGGCAGAAGATGGGGAATATAAATATACTGAGATTAAAGACAGAACTCTGTGAGTTCCTAAGTTAGGAATAAATTTATTTTTTCAGTACATTACACTTAAGCTTTGTCCCTCCCTCTCTCATTCTTTCCCCCTTCCAACATACTATAAGAATTTTTAAAATATTTTTTTAGAAATTTGAAGTAATCACAAACTTACAGAAAAGTTGCAACGAAAAAAAAATAATGTTTTCCCTAAATCATTTGAGAATAAGGTCCCCAACCTTGCATCTCATGGCTCCCAAAACTTTAGCGTGTAATACCTGGAAACACAGATGTCCTCCCCATAACCACAATTCAACTGTCAAAATAAGAAAAAGAAACATCAGATCATGACTACCATCTAATGCTCAGACCCCTTTCACTTGTCACCAGTTGTCTCATTCGTGTCCTGTATTTGTCCTGTGTAATAACTAAATCAAATGTGCTATTCAGTTATTGTCTTTTTAGTCTCCTTTTGTGTGGAATAGGTTCTTAGGTTTTCCTTGACTTTCATGATTTTGCTACTTTTGAAGGTTGTAGGCCAAGTTACTTTATAGAATAGCTCTCAATCTGGTCTGATATTTTTGCATGTTCAGATGCAAGTTATACATTTTGAGCAGGAGTATCATAGAGGTGAGGGTATATTCTTTTCATTGCATCCTATCAGGTGACACATGATTTTGATTCATTCCAGTTCTGATTGACATTATTTAACAGTGTATTTACCTGTTCTGTTATTGACGTGCATTTGGGTTTTGTTTTCTTTCTTTTGGTTATTACCAATACTGCTGCTCTGAACATTCTAGGACCTCTTTGGCAAACACATTTCTGTTGGTTCTATACCCAGGATTGGAACTGTAGGGTGTAGGGTGGTCCACCTTCTGCTTTAGTGGATTCAGACTTACTCAGTTGGTCCTGATTGCCCGGGCTTGTGGAGAGCTCTGGCCTCAGTGTCGCTGGATTTGATAGAAGAGGGACAGTGATTGCTGCTTGACTTTCTCCTGGCAGGGTCAGGGCCACGTCTGGTTGAAATATTGTCCAAAGAACCCTTTGCCTTTTATTTATTTATTTTTAAAATCTTCATCCAAGGACATATTTCCCATTGATTTTTTTTTGCAGGAGTGGAGTGGAGGGGAGAGAGGAGAGAGAGAGGAGGGAGGGAGGGCGGGGGAGAGAGAGAGAGAGAGAGAGAGAGAGGGAGAGAGAGTGTTAAAACATTTAAAATTGCTATTTAGAGAGAGGAAGGGAGGGAGAGAGAGAGAGAGAGAGAGAGAGAGAGAGAGACATAGATTGGTTGCCTCCCAGGGGGTGAGGGATTGAGCCTGCAACAACTGAGGTGCGTGCCCTTGACTGGGAATCGAATCCACGATCTGTGGGTCTGACACTCTAACCATAGAGCCAAAACAGCTAGGGCCCCTTTGCCTTTTCATGCAGGAGAGTGGATGGCGTGTATTTCCTGGGAACCTGACCTGACAGCTGTGGGAGGGAGCGGAAGGGAGGGAGGGGATTTCTTTTAGGGCTATGGCAAAGGAAAAGCCTAAACCTATTGCTGCGGTCTCTTTATTACTGACCTTTCCTGGGAGGAAAATTTTGATCTTGGAATAGATCATTGAAAAATATCAGCCTTATGAATGGAAATATCCTTGTAGGATGAGAAAAATTGCCCGGAAGATGAAAAAGAGGTACTTTAATTAGTGGCAGAGGATGAAATAAATGGGGCTGGAAAAGTTTTATCCCAGGTGATATCTGAAAGCTTGTTCTTAATGGGATTTTATGATAACGGAACTAGTCTGGTTTTTGAACATGCTCTCGGACTGTACAGGATGGACATTAGCTTCTCATTGATAAGAACCCTTTTCTCTCCGTGCTGATCTGTTGAGACTCAGCTGTGGCCACTCTTCCTCCGGGAAGCCTTCTCCAGGCCTCCAGATTGTGTTAAATGTGTCTTCTTTGTGCTCCCACAGTACTCAGCACACTGCCCACTATGATGACATGATTCCAGTATGTGTTTCTCTCCTCAACTAAAATATAAGCTTTTTGAGAGTAAGGGCTCT